ATATATACATCAGAGACTTGAGGATGGAAATCATCTAACTTGAAGCCACTGGCTGACATCCCACATGTTCTGGCAGCCACTTCAAGTTGTCATTATCAGTTATCTCATGTCAAATGCGTTAATAAGCTCATTTAGAGCCCTGCTGGACAGATGTGCGTGTAAGCCAAAGCCCTTTCCACAAGAATTGCTGAATTGCTAATGATTTTCCCTTTAATTAAGCCCAGGAAGAAATAGCATTGAGACTGACATGTCTGAAGGAAAATATTCACATAGTTTGGCTGTGAGTCTTTACCTAATAGTCATAATTAAAATTACATAGGGATTCTTTCTATGCACTGAGCACTCACAGCCTTGTTCAAAGCTGTTAGCCTGCCAAGAGAATCAGAAAGCATTTACTGTGTTTTGACAACTAGAAAGACTGTTAAAGTTCCCTGTTTTCATTAAAAAAATTCTTTACATATAGTGAAAAATGTAATCATTCTTAGATTTGTGAATGTAAAACCTTTTTTGAGCAATTATTCTTTATGAGGAGTTGAAGATATTATATATGTTTCTCTTGATTCACTCCACATAAAGTTATAAAGTAGTATATGTCCTGCTATCGATGATGAACTTTGGCTGAAAGAATCTTCATGATATTAAGAAACGGTTAAGTTTTTTAGTTATACAAAAGCCAAAATAAATCTACATAAGATGCTTGTTTGAAGAGAAAGCTTTAAATTCTTTATACTTGTTCATACTTGGAAGTAGTTTTGAACTATTTTCAAGCCACAATTGGAAATATTAAGGTATGTTTATTTAATAGGTTCAGCTACTAGCTACTAAACTAACTTTAAGCCAAACCAACAATTTAAATAATGATAAAAACAAAACTATATTTAAAAACTGTTAAAATTTTAGTAGTGATTCTTCTGTTCTAGTTAAAATATTAATATTATAAAAATACGACATTCTAGGTTGTATATATGAAACTTTAAAAAGTTCCAAGCAATATTTTTAGAAGAAAGAGCAAGTATAAATAATACACTAGATTATTTAATGCATAAGAAAATTCTAATATCCACATGGTCCTGTCACTCTTTATTATTCAAATATGTTATAAGAATAGTCAGTATTCCTGACTGCTACACCCTCCTTCTGCTTCTGTATCACCTAATGTGACCTCCCAATTTTTATCTGGGTTTTCTTATCTCAAAAGCTAAATGAAGCATAAAGTAGGCCCAATCTCATGTGTAAGAGGACTTGAACATAGAGCAAGCAGAAAACATTTAAGGCAAAAAAAAAACAAAACAAAATCTTGCAGGGAATATTATGTACACCCTGGATTCAATCTCATGTGTAAGAGGACTTGAACATAGAGCAAGCAGAAAACATTTAAGGCAAAAAAAAAAACAAAACAAAATCTTGCAGGGAATATTATGTACACCCAGGACTGGAATGATGAAAGGTACAAGCAGAAGGCAATTCATCTATGAATATAAATTAATATGTAATATAATATCACAGTACTTTTACAATTGCTTAAGGACTGACATGTGAGATTTCACCTTGGGAAAAGACATCAGGGCTATCTCCTAGGGCTCTTTTGGCCCCACCTCTGGAGCTGTAACACTAGGACACTAAAGTGTTACAAACTGCTTCCTGTACATGCCACTGTGCAGACCCTCTTCCCAGGAACAAAAAGACCAGCTTCAAGAAAGTGACTCTGTATAACATTGAAGAAGAAAATATCCTCAGAAATAATCTCAGAAAGACATCAACAAATGGCAAAAATGATCTAGTATGGCTTAGACCCACCCTGTGCTCCACTGTTTATTTATTAAGAATTAATTTTGGTAACATGTTCTCTGTGATTTGAAAGGCTACCAATGGTGAGTCATTCTTTCTAGTTATTAGAAGCCCCTTTCACAGCCACATGTAACTGCAATCTGCTGTGTCACCACAGCCCCATGGAAGGCGGCAATGTTGGGTGCATAGGGGTTCAATTCTACAGTCTGGGCCCAGGGAGCACTCTCTCTTCAGTCACAATTTCAGTTTGGTTGTAGGGAGGAGGCTTCTCAGGAGATGAGTGATTACCATTCCAATTTCAGAGATTGGTAAGAAGTCCTTATGAATGTCAGTCATGTGAAGAAGAGGATAAGGTGACTTCTCAGCCAAGGTTATTCCGAGAAACATCTATGTTTTGTTGCTAAGGTAACAAAGGCATTTCAGGCAGAATAAGAGCTACTTTACATGTGGAAAGTATTAATGACTAAAATGATTGTGAAACTGGGCCAGAAGCACATTTTTCCTTGATTTAACACATTTTTTTCTTTTGTTTTTTGGCCACCTTTTCTGAAGAACCGTTAGATGAAGAAAATCCAACCCCCAGCTCAACAGAAAGTGATTATAGCTCATGAGAGAGACTATTCATAAATTCAAAAACTTAGGCAAGCCCCATCTAGAGACTCTCACGTAATCTTTGCAAAGGTTATGAGTCTAAGATTTCTATTTTAAGGTCTCATAAGAAATACAGTACTTAAGTTGCACAATTAGCATTACTGTTTTCTTATTCCCAAGTGGCTCCCTTCCTTCTTTTCCTGAACTTTCAGATGAACATTATCATCAAATAGAAATGCACCCTTCATCAGATTGTTGATTCCAACCAGAAGACTCTAGAAGGGGAGACAGATGCCATTTCCATACTGTGCAAAAGAAATGCATTTATCTCAGGTCAAATATTCAGGAAATTCAGCAATTTTTCTCAAAGGAATCAATAGTGGATGGTTGTTAAGAGCAGACTTCTGGATTTGAATCCTTATCAGCTCTGTAGAATTGGACTTATTACTTCAAGTCTTTGTGCCTTAGAAGCCTGATTTGTACAAAGGGGAATAAGACTAGATCATGGCTCAAAAGGTGGTATTGGCATTAAATGAGTGTTTAGAATTGTACTGAATATTGAAAATATATAAGAAATGTTAACTATTATTATAGAAGTTTCAACATAAACAATCTTCTCTATGCCCACTAGAAAATATAGAATAACTAGATTTTAGAAATGTTTTTGCATAATTTACAACAGTAGTTCCTTAAAAACATTTTTTTCAGCTTTAATTGAGTTTATTGGTACATTTTAGGGATACAGTACAGTTACATTCATTGTTGGGATCTTGTACCTCTACATGACAAGTCTTGATTCTCATTTTTTCCCCTTACCTCTGCCCTCCCTTCACCCCCTCCTCCCCTCCCCATCTACAAACACTTTATTTCCATCTTTTCATTATCTCACATTTTTTTTCTTTTCCCTTTTTACCCTTCCCCTACCCGTCCCACCTTCCCTATACCTTTAGCTTCTTTCTTCCCATTTCTAAATGTCAGTAATCTTATTAGGATCTTCTGTATTATTGCAGATTATTCACACCAAAGAAACTATTCGGTATTTACACATGTGTGCCTTATTTAAAAACATTTTTTAATAAAGCAATAATGGATGAAAAGAAATGTCACTGTCAAATATAACATTATTTCCAGACTGAGGAATGAAATAGTTTATATCTTCAAAATGTAGATGTACATTATGAGAGGCAAAATAAATCATTTCCTGAGACCTGACTTTTAAAATAATATATTTATAAATACACAAAATGAAAAAAAATAGTAATCAATGTGTCATGCATCTCTCACTAACAATCAAAATCATAATAAAATTATATATAAAAATAAAAAATCATACATAAAGTAATAATAGTCTCAAAATAAGAATCAAGGTATCACTGATTTGACATTTTTTAAATTGGCAATAAACTTCACTTAGTGGTAAACTTTGTGATGAAAACTTAAGTGGTAATCTTTTGTCTTATATGCTGTACCACAGTTAAACTTTTCATTAAAAATGAATTCTTAAAATATGCATGTGCTCTCCAAACACCTTTTTTGTTGCTTCAGGGTTCTACCTATAGCTAGTGAGACTTCATGAAATCATCTACTCGGTATTCAACAGGGTCATTTCTTTCCCCGCAGAGAGAATTAATCATAGGCAAGGGCTGGAAAAGACAGCTTCCCCAGCTGAAACTTAAGCATGTTCCCACTGAGAAGCCCATTCTATTTTAATTTGCCAATTAAAAGTGGCCTGGGAAATCTCAAACTGTCATTATCTCATTAAAAATACATATGTGTCACTCCCTTTCCTCCCTATGGAAAATTAACACTCAAGTAGCCCAATTGCTCCCTACAATTTAAATTTAATACCACTCTTAAAAGGTTAGCTTTAGATAGGGTCAGTTTAGGACAGCAACTTCTGCAGTTAATAATGGCCACACATTGCTCACAATAGCAGTCTTTGAGTCAATACTATTTATTGTATATTTACTACGCCCATGAAATTTACTAAATAATGAGAAGAATTAAAAAGATTGCTTCTAGAAAATCAATGGCCTCTCTCCTGAGAAAGGGGTTCTTATAAGCAGGTCTATTTTTTATCAAATTTCTATTTTTATTAGTACATGTTTGCAGTTCCTTCTATTTTATTTTTATTCCACGCTCCCTTTCCGTTTTGCCAGATTGTCTGTGGAATGACATTACAAGCACACAACCGATAGTCAAAATTGCTTGATTTCTGTTGCTAAAACAGTTATAAATTTCATTCCCCAGTGAACTGTATTTTGAGATGGCATTACATGTGAGACTCAGAGTGATTCAAGTTGTTAGTTGACACAGTTTTTCAGTTACTAGTAAGCCATGAAACTACTAAAGATCATAAGTAAAGCAGAAACAGTTACAATTCTAGATAGTGACATCTTTAATAACACCCTCTTGAATAATAAACTAATAAATGATAAAGCTATGCCAATGATTGCATGCATATAGTAAAGCTGGACTCTGCATTCACCTGCAGCTTCTTCAGCATTTCCAAAGTTATTTCCTTAAAGAGTCCATGGATTTCTGCCTAATAAAAACATGCGTTACCATAACACACTAGGGGAAGGTGCTCTTTCTTGTCTTTAACCAACAGGTATGATTACCTTATTGCCTTGAAATCCCTTTGGGCCTGGATCCCCTGGAAGTCCACTAATGCCCTGTTCCAAGATGAAAAAAAATTAGTTCTGTGCATAAAATGTCAACCAATAATGAGTTATTCTTTAGGGTTCCTATGAGTTAAAAATCAGGTTGGATAGCTTAGCTCCATTGAAATCACTTTCAAATGAGAAACTGGATGACAAAAATCTCTTAAGTTAAATAAACAGCTTCTAAAATAGCAATTAACTACACCTATGTGTTCAAGAATTCTACCTATTCTATCTTCCAGCAAATTTAGTGTTTGTTTTAATACTTAGATTGTTGATCCATTTCAATTTTAGCTTAGTATATGGTGAGGGATATAGGTCAAGTTTTAGTCTTTGTAATATGGAAAGCCAGGTTTCCCAACATATTATTTTTTTGCTGTGGTATGATTTTTAAAATTCTTTTGGGAAAATACCCAGCAGGGGAATAGCTGGGTCAAATGGGACCTCTAATCGTAGTTTTTTTAGGTATCTCCATACTGATTTCCACAGTGCTTACAGCAGTCTATACTACCATCAACAGTGGAGAAGGGTTCCTTTTTCCCCACAACCCTGCCAGCTTTGGTTATTGGTTGATTTCTTGAGAGTAGCCATTCTTTGTGGCGTCAGATGGATCTCAGCATTGTTTTCATTTGCATCTCTTGAATGACCAGTGATGTTGAACATTATTTCAATGTATTTATTTGCTGTTTCTACTTCTTTGTCTGAGAAATGTCTGTTCATTTCAGATGCCCACTTTTGGAGTAGGTCTTTAAATTTGGGAGGTCTAATTTTTCTAAGTTCTTTATATATTCTAGATAGTAGAGCTTTGTCTGAGGAACAGTTGATAAATATTTTTCCCACATTCTGGGTTGTCTTTTCACTCTGTTGGTGGTTTCTTTTGTTGTGCAGAAGCTTTTAAATAAGATGAGATACCAGTTGTTGATTCTTTATGCTAGTTCACGTGCAAATGGTTTTGTTCATGAAATCTTTTTCTACACCAATGTCTTCAAGAGTTCTACCTAATCTCTTTTTCAGCTGGTTTAACGTTTCTGCTTTAATATTTAGATCTTTGATCCATTTCAATTTTAATGCATGGTGACAGATCTAGTTTTAATCTTTGGCAATTTGAAACCCAATTTTTCCAGCACCATTTATTGAAGAGGGTACCTTTCCTCCAGTGAGGGTATTTGGCCTTTGTCAAAGATGAGGTGGCTGGGTTGTCTGGAGTTGTTTTTGCATAGCAGCACCATTTATTAAAGAGGCCATCTTTCTTCTAATGAAGGTGTTTGGGCCCTTTGTCAAAAATAAGTTGACTGTGGGCCAGGGATTTAGCTCAGTGGTTCCAGCACCTGCCTGACAAACACAAAGACCCGAGTTCGATCCCCAGTACCAAAATTAATTAATTAATTAATTAATTGACTGTGTTTGGAGTTGTTTCTGCATTTCCTAGTCTATTCTATTGATCGTCTGGTCTATTTTATTTTTGTTGTTGGTTGGCTGGTTGCTTGTTTTTAGTTTGCTTGTTTATTTCTTTGTTTGCCAGTACCATGCTGTTTTTATCACAGTAGCTTTGAAGTATCATTTCAAGTCAGGGATAGTGATGCCCCCTGCTTTACCTTTATTGTTCAGAATGCTTTTGCTATTCTAGATGTTTTCTGATTCCAAATGAATTTTAGGATTGTTTTCTCTAATTCTGTGAGATATGCTATTAGTATTTTCATCAGGATTGCATTCAGTCTGTATAGCAATTTTGGAAGTATGGACATTTACACTATACTGTTTTTTTTTTTTATGCAAGAACAAGGGATATCATTCCATTTTCTGATATCTTCTTCCACTGCCCTTTTCAGAGTACTGTAGTTTTTAGTGTTAAGGTGTTTTACTTCCTTAATTAATTAGATTGATTCTTAAGTACTGTGAGGACTGTTGGAAAGAAGGAACCCTTCCACTCTTGGTGGGAGTGTAGATTGGTGCAACCACTGTGGAAATTAGTGAGGAGATTCCTCAAAAAACTAAAACTAGAGGTAGCACTTGACCCAACTATTTCCCTTCTTGGTATCTTCCTGAAAGAATTAAAAGCATGACACCACAGCAGTATATGCACCCTCATGTTTTCAGCAGGAAAGTTTGTAATAGCTAAATCTTGAAAACAGCCCAAATGCCCATCAATGGATGAATGGATAAAGATGTGATTATTTTATACAATGCAGTACTTCTCTGCTATAAAGATAAACTTGAGACATTTTCTAGGTAAATGGATACACCTTGAAACCATAGCCTTACATGAAATAAACCAGACACATATGTTCAGATGTCACATGGTTTCTCTGGTGTAAGAAATCAAAAGTATAAATAAGAACCAAAATGTATAATAGATATTGGGAAATAAGAAAATGTTCAAATTTGAAGAGAAACCAGGGAGGGAGGAGGGAAAAAGGGGAAAAAATAGAAGGAAACAAAGACGTTGTAAATAAGGAGGGGAAGAGAAATGGGGGGAAAAAAAAGAATCAAGATACAGCGTGCATGGGTATAAATTCCCTATGATGAATATTATCATTCTGTATATCTAAAATGAACCAATAAAATTAATTTTAAAAAATAAAACAAAATAGCACTTATGCTGATAGCAAACATTTTATCAATGAGGTGTTTGTTTTCTAAGGTTTTCCAACCTTATCTCTGGATTGAGCTCCTTTTTAAAAGATTTCACCTTTTAAATAATGTGTCAGGCGTATAACTGAAAGTTACGGCTTCCAATGGCCGGGTCACAGACAGATTTAGGGACTCACTCTGACAATTCCAAGCCAAAACACAAAGGCTGATGTTAATTAAATGCTGTCTAGGAAAAGTATGAGTAAAGTTTTCAGCAGATTCTTGAAATGCTAATAGTCACTCTTTCCACGCATACAAAATCATTGTAACTTTAGAAAAAAGAAGGCCCATGCCTGGAAAACAGTGATCCAGATCATTTTCTGAAATCTTGTTCTCATTTCAGCTGCACATATACCAATTACTTTCTGAAATCTATGGTATATATTTAACTTCAATAACTGCCTTAAAGAACTGTTCCATATTATAGAGCATATATATATGTATATATATATATATAGAGAGAGAGAGAGCATATATATATATATATATACACACACACATATATATACATATATATAGTCTAAATATTCTAACTTAGATAAAATATACAACTCTTCTAATTATATTACAGATGGCAATGCAAAATAATTACACCTTACTCTTAACTATTGTAACTTTCTCCATCTACCTAGACTAATATTTTATCCCCTTAGCTACTTTCTAAATTGGTTTGCCTGCTGATAACCATCTTCAGGGAGTGCAGGTTAATCAAAACATTGTGTACATAGCTTCCAAACCATCCTGCACATTGGAATCATCTGAGAACCTTACAGAGTAATGGCACCTGGCCCCAATTTCTAGACATTCTGATTTAATTGGTAGAGGATATAAGCAGGCATAGGGATTTTTAAAAAGTTTTCCAGGTGATTCTAATCCAAGCTTAGATTCAATCTTAGCTTCCTTACCTGAAGTCCTCTGGGTCCCTTTGGTCCAGATGGCCCTGTTGCTCCCTATCGAATAAATAAAAGTGGTGGTAAGTCTCCCTCAGTAACATCCATCTCTAACTACAGGGAGTGTAGGAGGGAGAAAAGGAAATGCATCATGGGTAATGGTCAGTCTTTCTTGTTACCCAAACATCAAAGCCAACAAATTGAAATTATCCTGATTAACAAGAGATTTCAAAGTTAAAATTTTGCTTTAATAAACTCAATGAAAATCCAATTTTACATGTCATTTGGAGCCTTTATATATTAATATTGCAACCAGAGTAAAGGAGTTGCTTCATAAAATAATCCTAGAAGACTATGAATTTGGCAAAATATTGTTTCCTTCCATAAGGCAACGTCACTAAACTAACAATTCAGGGACCAGGGATTTAGTCCAGTGGTTCTGCTGCCAAAAAAAAAAAAAAGCAATTCAGTGAGTTTCCATGGTACCTATAGATCATTATTTTGCTCATCCTCAAGACATGAAACTTGGCAAAACACTGTTTAAACTCAAGACTTTTCTAATAAAAAATTTTTCATTATGTTCCATAATTCACTTTATGGGAGAATAATGTAGTCCAATTTCTCTTTTTTTCATACTTTCCAAGAATAGGCACCTGTCATAATTTTTTCACTTCCCTAGTTTTTAATATTAAAGTATATCTGGTGATTTTTATTTTAGTTAGTATTGTAATGAATATCTTTTATGTATGAGCCTTTGTCCAATTTCTGAGGACAACTTCCTGGAAGATGACTAAGGCAGAGATTACAAGCACATTTGTAGTTCTCTGTCAGTCTACTTTGCTTCTCATGCCATAAATGGAGAGAAACTTCCTTCACAAAGTTTGTCATCAGTCCTCTGAGTATGTCTTACCTGAGTAGAAAAGACTACATCTCCAGCTTAACAAATCCCCATCAAGACTGAGGATTAAATACTACTTCAGTGCCTGCTAATTTGATATGTGAAGTAGTATTTTACTGCCTTCATTTCAGTCATCTGATTGCTAGTATGTTCGAATATTTTTTTCTGATGTATTTGTCATTGATATTTTCCTCTGCTATGTCTCTTCATACTCTGTATGTATTGTTCTTATGATTTTGTATGACCTCCTCATATCGAGGATACTATATTTTATTGATGCTATGACAGATTTTTTGTATTTTTTATATCTCTGACATTCAGATATGTCTTAAATTAATCACCTTATATTTGTGATTGCAGTATTTTCTTTTTTGGCACAGAAAATAATGAGACATTTAATAATATCTGGCATCTTGATTAAGGAGATACATTTTTGTCAACTTTTTTATTTCACATTTTCCCAGGAATTATTTGCATTTCATTTCTGGCCCATAGCCTTGCTTCTGCATTTCCAAGTTCTCATGCCCATCGCCCATCTCCCATCATCCTCTAGGAAGCACCCATTAATCACAGTCTCTTCTACCCAGTGATAATTACCAAGCCCACATTTGACAGATCTACCTTATCTTTAGCTCTACAGCAGTTAAAAACTTCCAGAAAGTCTCAAGGTATTTAAAATGCTTAGTTCCATAGGCCATGTCATTATCTTATCATCTTTTAATCTTCCACCTCATTTTCTCTCCTTGGCTTCCTCTCATAATTATAATAAAGCTATTTATAAAGTTTAGTATCTTGGTGGCCTGCCATTAATAGCTCTTAACGATGATGAAAACTATTGATGTTTAGTCTGTACTTCTTTGGACCTCTTATCATTATGTTTTAAGATGTACTCTATATTTTTGGTCTATTACAGAACTCTAACTTGCTGAATATTTTCTCGAATGTAAGCTTTCTATCTGTCTCTATTCATATATTTCAGTACTGGGGATCAAAACATTTCCAGTCTTTTTTATCTTTTATTTTGTCACAAAGCCTCACTAACTTGCCCAGTTAGGATGGGATCTTGTGATCCTCCTGTCTCAGCTTCCTTCAGTGCTGAAATTATAGGCACGCACCAATGCATCAGATTTCCGTATTTATATTTTAACTAAAGATAAAGACCTATCCATTGTTTGTGTCTAGCCACATTTTCAAAATTTTAAGCTCTTCCCTATGTCTAGTTCTGCAACAATATTCCTATTTCACTAACTCACAGAGTTTTTAGGTTTTCTTTGAAAAATGCCTGATTTCAGTGTTTAGATCTAGCAAGCAATTCTATTAGGACCCAGTTGGAGTTTAAAATGACCATATTAGTTAAGTTATTCTTTTCACCATAAGGTTCACTAGATCTGGCCTTAAGGTTATGGTCTATAAGAAAGGCATCTGCGGGACCCGCAATCTATATTAGGTATCTGTTTTTCTTCTTGTTTTACAGATGTGAAAATTGAGCCATAATTCTGCAGCTCTAGAAACAAGAGCTACTTAGTTCAACTGAGGAACTGCCTTGTAAGAAAACTCAGTCCCGAAGGGAAGCACAACTGTTAGTGTTTAACAATCATTTTCATGCCTTACTTTGTCGCCTTTTATTCCTGGTTTACCACATTCTCCTTGTTCACCCTAAAAAATAAAAACAAAACAAACTAAATAAGGGGACATTTCTAGTTATTCCGCATTAAGATTCCCAACAGAATCTTACGACACAAGCACATTGCAGGATTTCATGCTCAGTACCGTAGATGGACAGGCACTGAATGCTGAAGTTTTGTTCCTGACTCATCCTTCATTTGACAAGATTGAGTCCAGGATGCCACCTAATGAGGTTTGACATTCTCAAGAGCTGGGTGAAATTAGAAGGAAAACTGAACATCTGCCACATATGATGGTGTTTTTGCATATGTGATCTAATTGAATCCACATCGGGACCCAATGAAGTCAGTTGAGAAAATTAAAACTCACTGTGATGACTTCTCTTGATCATACAGCTAATGAGGGGAAGGATCAAGATCTAAACTCATCCCTGCTGTAACTCAGAGTCCCTAAATTTTCTCCAACACTACGCTCCCCGGATAACTGTGGGAGTTTCTGAGACCAGGGTGTCATGGCTCAGGAAGGTGCTGTCATGGGTGAGAAGGCCACTGTGAGAGGTGAGCACACTCTCCATTATCACGCTGTACTAAGGTAGCTTCTCCCTAGGTTATCACTAAAAACTAACACTACAATTATGCTTCAGAGCTTATTAGTGATATGTTACAGACATTTTTTGACTATCACCTGTTGGAAATCGATATTATCGACTCAATTTTAAACATTCATAATGTGTGATTCAAAAAAGTTAATGTGTACATTATGGAATATTAATCTGTATAAAGAAAACCTTACCATGTGACAATACAGATGAACTTGGCAAACACGTTTAATGAAATAAGCCAAATGCCAACAAATACTCCATAATTTCATTTTTATGTGGAAACTCAAAAATTTGAGCTTATAGAAGCAGAGTGGAATAGTGGTTATTATGAATAACAGACAGAGTTTGGGGAGATCTACTTAAAGGATACAAAATTTAAGTTAGAAGCAGTAAGTTCAAGACACCAATTGTACAACATCTTAATGACAAGATTAGTATTAATGACTATACTTAATGACAAGATTAGTATTCTTGAAAAGCATTAAAAAAGATTTTAAGTATTCTCACCACCAAAAAATGTTAACTATGTGAGATAAAGTATGTTAATTTAACTATCTCACAATGCATACATATTTTAAAACAGCATGCTATACATGATAAATTATACAAATTTGTCCATTAACCTTTTAAAATAGATTAATAGTTTTAATAATTTGCTAAAGCAGAATGAGTATTGAGATCTCTAAATACTCATCCATTATATCAGGCTTTTAAGACTTCTAGTGATAAGAAATAAAAATAGCCAATGGCAAAAATGACTAAAGTCTTACAATCACATCATCTCTTGTTTATAAAACATTTTAGCATTTTCAAAATATTTCCATTACATAAATTTATTCTGAACCTCAAATAATTCTTATTGTTAATGAAGGAAACTGCACTAGAGAGGTTAAATGATTTGCTTACATGTAAACACTAGCCAACAGCTCCTAGTCCAGGGCCTTCACTTGCAATTTCTGTTTTCTTTTTGTACCGGGGATCAGGGATCAAACTTGGGACCTCGTGCTTGTGAGGCAGGCAGAGGCACCACTGAACTGAAACCCCAGCCCTTCACTGGTAATTTCTGCTTCTGCTGTTGTTTTACTGTCTATATGCTTCTCTAGAACATATTACTCAGTGTGATACTATGTAATGACACAAAGCAATTGCACTACAATGTAATTCAATGCATTGCTTCCTTCATCGAGGAAGTTGTGCTATGAAAATAAATGTTAGGTGGATTTAACGTTGAATATAACTTTGTTATTTAGTAACAAAGTGGATGTATATTCTGGTACAAGATTATCTCGATGAAAATAGTTGACATCCAGCATGCAAATTATACTTTGAATAGCACTGTTCTAAGAAAGAAAACAACAATTGTAATCACCAATTATGGATGCAAAGTACATGCCAGAGCTTTTACTTGATTAGAAGATCACTAATCTCCACAACAACCTTGCTTATATATATACATATACTGTATATATTGCATATATACTCTGTATATGGAATATGAAGCTCAGAGAGATAACATTACATTATTTGCCCATGACCATAAAGTCGAACTGATTAGACCTCCAAGTTCATGTGATTAGTAACCAATAACCAAACCAGGCACACCATCCAAGATGTAAGTTATTTTCCATTGACCTGACACTTTTCCCTAGGGAATAACAAAACTCTTGCTCACATCCAGAGCAGGAAGGAGAGTGTTTCAATTCTTAGAACTAGCTATGTCTCTGTTCAAAAACAATCCCCCCTCCACTGTCCGCCCCCCAGGGAAATCTGAGTTTTCACTTAGAACAAGTTGAGCATTTATTTTTGAATGCTAATGAAAACCACTCTTGAAGACTCAATTACAAAGCAATTAATTTACTAATGTCAGATGGGAACGAAATGAGTCAACCACCAAAATATAAAACAGAAAAGTACCATAAATACACTCAAAATTCTTTTGGCTCAAAATTCTCATCCCATTTGCCCAGACAGATTTGTTAGCTCCAGGGTCCTGAAGAACAGCATTTGTTTTAGGGGCAGATTTCTATCAATGAAAATACTGTATTTTATCAATGAAAATATTGTATTCTTGTTGTTTGTCTCAACAAAGGCATTTTCTTTTTTTGGTGGCTCATTAATCCCTGTGGAATGGCACAGTTACATAGTTCTAGAAAGCAAATGCTTCAGAAAGCTACGAACAAATTAGCTCTGTTCCCAGACTCAGACTTCTGGTGCTGCTCCTCCTGGTGACATTCTGGTTTGAATGTTGAACACTTGGAGTCACTTTGCCCTGACAGCTTATATTTTCCAAGTGAGAATTCTTCCAGTAAAATTCTTCCAGTAAATCTTCAATTTTTCAGAAAATTAAATGAAACTTATCAAATATATATATATATATATATGCTTTCTGTTGTTAATTACTAGCTTATTTTTTAAAATCAAGATGGAAAGAAGCATCCATAATGTTCAACTGCATATAATTTTGTAATCATAAAAATTTCTAAATTTCTCATATTAGTATTTGTTCTTTATCTCTTAATGATAGAAATTTACATTTATAGACAATCAGTTTACAGTACATTATCATACTTATTCAATTTAATTTTCCAACTACCCTGTAAATTAGACAACCCCATATTAATGCAGCTCTACATGAATGAAGAAAGCAGCACCGAGCTCTTGAATACAAGTACGACAGATGGCAAAAGAGAATCCTGGGATTTTTTTATGCTCCTCCCGTTTGGGGCCTGATATTTCTGGTGCTTGGGATATATTTCCTGGCCTGTATACAGGTTCATGTCTACAATGTGCAGGTTCCAAGTGCAAAAAGTGCAAAGGGAGCCCTACTACCATGTATCTAGTTGAAAGTTATAAAAACAAATTAATAAACTAATACTGTTCTAGCTTCCTTTCTTGACAAATACACCTTCAAAAGGAAAAAAGAGATAAAAATTTGTGGGATTCCTCAGTGGTTCATGCAGCCCCCTGTCCACACTGGATTTTCTTCTGAGGCAAGAGTAGCTGTGAGTACAAAGATGCCCAATAGCACAATGTGAACCACCACTTGGTTCCCTCTCAGGCCTTGGAAGAAGGAGGATATAGAAAAGAGGCATATGTACCTCCACCAACCAGGCTCAAGACATTCTGCATGACTTCTGAGGTCTTGGTTACCCAAAATATGATTTAAAAGGGGCACAATTTTCTCACCTGGAAATCTTCTGGCTCTGTGAGCAATGAGAAGGCCAGACTAGACCAGAGCAAGAACATGTAAAAATGTAGGCTCTTGTCCAAGTCTGAGGGCTATGCCAGGTGTACAATAAATTGGATGCTAGGCACATGTTCTCATCTCTGACATCAAATCTGACAGGGAAGCGTCGGGATAGATGTATTCCACTGAGCATTCAAGAGGTTCCTCAGCCCCAGTCAAATTTGTTAATTTCTTTTTAAGAAAACTGATTTAACTTTTTTTTTTTTGTTCTTTTGATTTTTGTTTTTTGGGGTTGTTTTGTTTTGTTTTGTTGAGATAGAGTTTTGCTAAATAACTGTTCAGGCTGGCTTTGAAGTCATTATGTACTCCAGATTAGCCTTGAACTTGTGGCAATCTTTCTGCCTTGGCCTTCCAAGTGCTGAGATTATAGGTGTGCAGCACACATCCAGCAGATTTCCTAATCTGTAATTTGCAAATAATCCTAAAGTCATCTACAAACCCACATCTTTTGTTTCCTTCCTTTGCCTGCTCTTTCCCATGCTTGACTCAGAGAGATCAGTGACCCTTTATTGCTTAACCAGGATAGATCCTCTCTTTCCTGGAGAAAGAGTTTGGCATCTAGTCTTTCACAGAAAATCAAACATCCATAAAGCAACCTACTTGCAACTTTGCAAAATTTGATTATATACAGGAAATTTTTTTATCTGAGTACCTGTGCTGCATGGTGGGGTTCTCTACTGAAAGAATTCATATTTGCAGAACTGAAGGAGGTTTCACTGTAATCTCAGAAATCTTAGGGAACCCGCTGTCCCTTATAACATATACCTGTATCTTTAGTTCTATTACACACTATTTTATGTTAACAGAATTAAAAGTATACTCAGGAATGTAGGAATCTGGACTTGCAAAAGTAAAGGGAAGTAAATTTATTAAGTACATGAGTACATTATATTTGTTTTTCTTTCTGAAATTCTGGTCTATTAGTTGTGACCAACTTACCTTGTCACCCTTGTATCCAGGAATTCCCTAATTAAGAAAGAAAATAAATGAAATGTTAAAATATTTTATTATATTTAGCACATATACTAAAAAATACCCATATAAAGTAAGACCAGATAAAGCTCCTTAATTTTACTACTCTTTGTACTTGAGGAATGTGCATTTACTAAGACAAAAAGAAACTGTCTCTCCATTGCATTCTATTCTCTGCTCCAAATATTTTTTTCAAACAGTTCTTTACCTTTTAGTTGCAAACTGAAAAAGAGAATGTACCCTGAATGTCACTGTGGAAGTGACCACTCATAACAGTTGTTTCAAAATTGTTAAACTCTGTTGACTTTTAAACTATAAACCTCTGCTGTTGAGAACGTTTCACAGAAACTGTTAGAGAAACTGGCTCTGAAAATGAGCTGAGATTAATGGCCTTAAAAATATACATTAATATCTGTACCCATTTTTGTCCTTTCAAATTCAATCTAGAATATACAACATCAAGGAAATGAATGGTTCTTCTCTCAACCCTAATGACAGTGACCTTTAAATTACTGTCTTCTATATCATGAAAAAAAAAAAAAAAAAAAGAGCCAGCAAGCCTGCTGCCTTCTGAGTCACTCCCAGGAGTCCTACACAGCCTTCTCCATTGTGCCTCTGCCCATGTATCCTGCACTAATACAAGACTGAATATCAAGTGCACTAGGAAATTACCAACTCTCAACAACATCAAGTTTTTTCCAAATGAGATGCCATGTCTTTTTCCTACAAGTATATTTTTTCAAGAATGAAAATATAATTATAACATATTTAAAGCAAGCTGGTGACAACCTATTACTACAGCTGTGCACAATTTAAAAGTTTTGTCCTATGAATGACTTTTTCCCCCAAAAGAAAATTTCATGAAGGAAATAATAGCATTCCAAATAAGTGATCGCTGAGGCACATAAAAATACAATTAGTCAAAGTTATGATTACAGAGTTATGATTAATTTAATCCAATTTAAAGTATATATTCAAACAAATTGTTTAACTTTTAGAATTGTGCTTAAAATTAAAAGCTACACTATTAACTATTAATTTAGGATTCTCTATTAAGACATTCATGTCTAAAGAGATTGAAAATTATCAAGATAAGTTACATAGATGTACCAATTTCCCAATATGAATGTAACAATTATGTATCACAAACACACACTAATAAAAACTGTAAGATCATTTACGTGTATAGTGCCAAAAGAGCCTGAATTTCTAATCTCAGGAATCTTTGGGCATTCTCTACCCATTGCAACACACAATCACACAGACTATATTTTGAAAGAAACCAATACAGCTATACAGAACTAAAGAAATTTTACTTTCTAAATAGTATTTTTCCCATTTTCACTCTGAAATCCCTGGTAGTCTTATTGTTTGATTGCCGTACCAGCTCTCCTCCACTCCCTCTTTTTATATCTTCAAGGCATCCTAATTACTAGTTTTTAAATATTCAAAATTGTACTCAGTTTCTGCTGTTTGTTTCCGACTTTCCTATTTGTAGAAATGATACAGTCACATTTCAAATCATAACATTAAATTTCATAATCATCTTAGTCTTCTCCCTCCTTTGCTTATCATTATAACCCTATAATCTCGCCTACTTAAAATTCTCCCAAGCTTCCCATTATACCTGGCTTGCAATTCACTCTTCTGACTCTGGGCTACCAGCCCCTATCTGTTCTGGTACCTACCTATGTCTATGGCTTGTCTCCCATCGAGGTACACGAACAAATTCTTGTAATCTTGCCTTTCTCTTTCTTACAAAGCTCTTGCTATGTCACCCATACCATCTTCGGGCACAAGTAATTCTCCTTCCTCATTCTTTCGAGGACCTGGGACTACAAGTGCCTGCCGTCTCACCTGGCTTCTTTCCATTTCTTGAGCCTGCTAAGCATGCTGCCACCTTCAGGCCACTCCTTGTTCCTTCTGAGAACATTTCACTGCTTTGTGTTCTATTTCTGTAACACTCCCCAGTGAATGAAATTATCTTTTGTCTCCCCTCCCTGAGTATTTCCTGAGACAAAGACTGTCTCGCTTAATCTTTTGTACTTAGCACCTGCAAGAGTGTCTAACGTATAGCAACTTTTCAGTGAATATTTGTTGATTGTATGAGTTACAGTTTGTCACATCTGCCCTTTCATGGATTCTCACCATGTTTTCTTCTTATTTTGTCATTACTGTAGCTCAGAGCTGTTCTATGTAATGTAAAATATAAATGCAAGGCACGTTTATACTAAATGCTCTAATAGCCACATTTTAAAAGGCAAAAATATGCAGGTGAGATTAATTTTAAAACATATTTGATTTATCCCAATAGGTTCAAAATACTATTATTTTAACGCTTAATCAATAGAAAAGTTATTAATGCAATGATTTTACGTGTACTAATCTTCAAAGTTTGATGCGTATTTTATTCTTACAACACACTATTTTCAGACTAGTCATGTGCCAAGTACCCCGTAAGCACGTATGGACAGAGGCTCTCATACTAGCTAGAGCAGATATAGCTGGTATCCTTGTTGCCTCTCACACCAGCCACAGCAACAGACCTTCTAAATTCTCCTTTCATGCCCTTATTCTCTCATGATTTCCTTTTCCACAGCAGTCTCCAAGTAGACTTACCAAACTTCATCTAAACATTCAGGGGGTTCCCATCATTTAGCAAAAGCCAGACCTGAGGCTGGCATTGGGCATCCACTCTGCCCCAAGGCCCCCTTCTGACAACATCACCCTGTTTTATATTTCTTAACCCAGCGTCTTCCCTCAAGCTGAGGCTCATGATATTCTCTCCATCTGCAATACCTAGCTTTCTGCATTTCTGCTCCCTCCTTGCCTGTCATGACCCTATCTCTTCAGGGCATACCCTGTAAAATCTACCTACATAATGCCAGTCTCCCCCCAGTGCCTGCAATGCGGTACATTGTACCTATCCTTTTTACATTATTTTAATATTCTGCTTCAAATTGCAGTTATTTAGAATATCTTATCTCTCCTATGAAACATAAGCTTTTTAAAATGTGTTTTGTTTTAGATATGATTGCTTTGTTTTGAGGGGGAGGTTGTTTTTGTTTTGTTTTTGAGACAGGGTCTCACGATGTGGTTGAGACTGACCTGAAGCTCACTATGTAGCCCGAGCTCATCTTGAACTCACAGTGATCCTCCTGCCTCAGCTTCCCGAGTGCTGGGATTACAGGTGTGTGCCACCACGTCTGGTGTGTTTTGTTTTAATTTCATTTTTACTTACAAAGATGAGTAGTATCCAGATCATATCTACAAGATATTTTCCCAATAAATAATCCTGAACAAATTCTATTGACATAATCAAAATTTCTAGCAGATTCTTCCACAAACTTAATTGAGAATAGTATTGAAAAATCTCTGGGTCTGATTCCACTGTTAGTATCCAAAGAAACAAGGAAAAAGACTCAACACAACATGACTTCCTTTTTATTCACTGTACACTTTTATTTGCTACTCTTACCTCAATGCCCAGGAAAATGCAAAATAAGAAATGTATTATACCTTTTTCTCAAGCAATCGCTGCTAATTCTAATTTTGGGAGTAAGAAATCAACTAGAATTGACAAATGCTATTTTGCCTGAGGAATTGGAATCACAAAAGCAAGGCTTAGACAACTTAATTCTTATGCTCCTGAATTCAAACATATTCTTTATCATGAAAAAAACAGAAATCAATCTCTTCTCGTTTGATGTTTTCATACGTGTCCAATTAAGTATCAGAGAATGCCACTGGATTGAACACCCTTGCTCCCATCATTATTCCTGATGAGCAGAGTATTTTTTATCATTATTTCCACTTCTATGATCATATCTGCATATGTGTGATAGCCTGCCCAAGTCATCAAGAGCCAGGTAGACAAAAATCATTTTTCACTTATATTTCAGGGGTCACAATGGTCAACCACAGACTCAGAATATTCTAGGATCACTTCCTCAAGAAAGCATTCCAGTTGTGTACATACCCCAGGACCTCTGTCTCCAGGTTCTCCTTTTTGAGCGTCACCCTGAAACAACAAATTCCGTTCAAATTCTACAGCCTTCAGAGTGTATGAGCACTCAATAAAATGTGTTATGCAGAAGTCCCAGATTGATAGGTTAACCCAATTAGGGAACTCTCTGAAACTTTTAACACAGACATTTTCTCCATGTAATCTAGGAAACAAATAGCATCAGATAAACTTTGCTGTTTTGGAGAGAAGCCAGATGTGCAGGGTGCAGAATCCAGGTATATTTTTGCAGCTTAGGCCACAACTCACTTTAATCACATGGTTGTTTTTCTCAAATACAGCATTATATTTGCTTGGAGCTGAACATCCTGGCTTTTCTCCAAAAGACTTAGGAATGTTTTCCAAAATGTCCTCAAGGATGATTGCTAGAGTTCAGCAAGACTTAGAAAAATAAATTATGGGGCACAAAATTACAAACCAAATAAATGACATATGCACATTGACTAATAAAAAGATATTTAACACGACAAAAAAAGGATGATGACATCAATTTAGAGCTACATGAGTGAGTGAGTATACAGTTGAATGTGTATGCTATTGTGTGTGTGTGGTAGAGTGACCCAAGAAGACTAAACATTTCCTTAGCAAGCAAACAACTGCAAAAAAAAAAAAATGCCTTCATGCATATAACATATTTTCATTTCCTTTCTAAAAATATTCTCAGAAACAGTGTTGGGTTAAAGTCTCAAGTATTTCAATATCTCTATAGTATTGCTACCTTCTTTCCAAAAGGTTTTTGTCAAGTTATTTTTGCAATAATGAGCATATCAGTTTTGCTATCACAATACTATAACTAGTTATTGCTGTTTTAAAATTCCTATGTTAATTGCTATAAGAAATTTCTTAAAAGTTTAAAACTCATAAAAATAATTTAAACTAGAAAGCTACCTCTTTTAAATAAAAATCTACTGTGTTCCAAATTTTCTAGAATGTAAATACTTATTATTAAAGTGTATCTTATTGTATGTATTTAAATCTAAATTTCTTGATCAGAGCAGACTATTGAGGACTGCCCAGCCAATGTGTGGAGCTAAGCAACTTCCCTACCCACCAGTCCCCAGGGCATTCATCAGAGCAGACCAGTGAGGACTCCTCAGCTGCACTGGGAGCTAGCTGCTCCCCCATCCTCCAGCACCCTGGTCTTAATCAGAGCAGATGGGTAAGGAACACCCAGCCATGTGGGCACCTCTGCAGCATCCCCCAACCCTGTGCTCTTGGGCCTCCTGGTTGTGCCAGTACCTGGATCCACACTGCAGAGGCACAGGTGGTCATAAAGGCCATTTTACCAAGCTCCAGAAGATAGAGCAGAAGTAAACAACTGCAATAAAGGCACACCAGACCTCCATAGTTGGTAATTTGAAATGATCACCATCTTCCACCAGAACTTGGACTATCTTCAGGGGAAGGGCAGTGGGAACCTGCAGTAGAACCTTGCAGAGTTCAACCTTGCAGGAAGTCAGGGAGCTCAGCTTGGGCCTTGCAGCCAGAATTCAGCCTGAATCTCAGGGGTCTGCCATCAACTAGCTGAGACTAACTGACTTAGTTCTGAACATTGCTGGCCAAATTGTCTATTGTGACAGCAGAGATATACCCTGAAAGAGGCCCCTCAAAATTTTTTTCTTTCTTTTCCTTTTATTTGTAATTTTTAATTTTTACTTTTTAAATTTTATTTTTTCCAATTCTTCAAACTCTTCCTTTTTTTCTTCTTTTTCCCACTCAATCTCTTATTCCCCACAATATTCTTATCGCTCTTGTTGTTCCTGTCCCTGCCCTAATTTGGATTTCTTCTTTCTTTTTCTTTTATTGTCTCTTTTTCGTTTGCTCAATTGTCATTAGTTTCAAAGGAAAATGAGTACAATTTATAGCTTCCCTATTACCATTAAGTTGTTCTGTTCTTATTTTTGTTCTTGCACTCTGTCTTTCCTTCTTGTCTTCAACAGTTTCCTAGAGTTTGTGTGATCATCCTGTGTCCTATGGCTTCACTTGAAACCTTCTCCTATTCTTTTACCTATCTATACCTCTACTCCCAACTCTTTCTACATGCCCATCCTGAAGGGTAAATTTGCTATATTGAAGAGTTCATTCACTATAAACATATTTTGGGCTGGTCCTTGATTTTATTTAATTCACATGGTTAAAGGTGATAGATTAATAACTACAACAAATGGTTAATTTTTAAGCTGTGCTGGATGCTATTGTGTTGCTCATTGTATCAACTGGACTAAAGGGTTGTGATTGATTTAATCAGTTGTCCTTCCTGATACTATGAAAATGAGAATGTCTCTGAGTCATTAGAGACTCAAAGAGCAGTTATATCAGGAAGATAAAAGTACTAACCCATGAATTAAACCAAAGATAGCACCAACAACAAAAATAAAAATGAGAAAACACTCTAAGCAAGGCACAAATACAGACTTCCAGTTCACCAACAGCAAATTCTAAGGGAAATGAGTTAGAAAAAGTCTGACAATCAACCATCAGGACACTTTGAACTCATAGAACAAGAAGTAACAAAAGAGGCTCTAAAAAAAATTCAAAACAGAAATATTTCCCAGATAATTACAGAGATGGTGAACACAATGAGAGGTATGATTAGAGACTCGAGAACAGAAACAGACAAAAAAATAGATGAGTCAGGACTGTGATAGAGGCCATGAATGCTCAGCATAGGAAAGAAATGGAAACTATGTATACCCAACACAGGAAAGAAATAGAATCCATGAAACAGATTCAAGAAGATATCCAGGAGGGCCAGTGATTTAGCTCAGTGGTGCCGCCACCTGCTTTGCAACCAAGTTCGATCCCTGGTACCAAAAAAAACAAACAGATATCCATGAGACTAAAAATTCTATAGAAAGCATTCACAGCAGAATGAACAAATGTGAAGACGTAATTTCAAATATAGAATATAAGATTGCAATCAGTGACCATGAAAAGAGAGATCTCTTAAAAACAGTAAGGGATCATGAGAAATTGACCCAACAACTCCTAGATGATGCAAAGAAGAATAATATAAGACTGATAGAAATCCTTGAAGTAGCAGGATAAAGTGCATATGACTTTAAAAAACTGTTCACAGAATTAATGACAGAAAACTTCCCAGAGCAAAAGAATTTGACATATAAGTGAGGCATATAAGACTCCAACTAGCCACTATAAAAAAAAATCTATTCCTAGACATACAATAATCAAGATCCCAGAAATACAACAGAAGAAAACACTGCAAGTAGTTAAAGAAAAGAAACAAATCACATGCAAAGGAAAGCCCATCAGAATCACAGCAGACTTTTCAACACAAACCTTCAAGTCAAGGAGAGCCTAGAAAGAAAACAACCTAAAAGAAAGCCCTAAAAGAAAACAACCTCCAACCTAGACTGTTATATCCAGCAAAACCATCTTTCAAAATTGATGGGGAAATAAGATACTTCCAGACAAAGAACACCTAAGAAACATCATGAATACCAAACCAGCACTCCATACAATTCCAAACAATATCCTAGAAAAAGAAAATGAAGGTCACAACAGCATGAGGCCCAACAGAGAAAATCAATTAGGCAAGTCAAGAAATGAAAGGGAGAGGGGGAATATTAAAAAGAGCCAACAACAGGACAATACCATGACAATGATAAGTCAATACTTATCAGTTATAACCATCAATGTTAATGTCCTCAATTCACCAATCAAAAGAAATAGACTGACAGAATGGATTAAGAAGCAAAATCCAACAATATGTTGTATACAAGAAACTCATAGAGAGTAAAAGAATGGAAAACAATTTTCCATGTAACAGGATACTAGAAAAATGTATGGATAGCTATCTTATTCACAGACAAAGTAATTTCAAACCAAAACTAATGAAGAGAGACAAAGAAGGTCACTACATCCTTGTAAAGGGAATAATCCAAGAGGAAGAGAATGCAAGCATAAATATATATGAACCAAATATTAATGTTCCCAACTATATAAAAAATATTAAGGGACATGAAAAATCAAATAAGCACTAATACAATTGTAGTGGGGGACCTAAATACCCCATTATCACAAATAGACAGATCATGCAGACAAAAAATCAACAATGAAATACTAGAACTGAATCAAGCTTTTAAACAAATGGACTCAATAGACATCTACAGAGTGTTCCACCCCACAAAATTAGAATATACATTCTTTTCACCTGCATATGGGTCATTCTCCCAAATAGACCATATACTACCTTATAGAACATTTTTAAATAAATGCAAAGGAGTTGAAATTATCACCATGTGTATTATCAGGCCATAGTGTGATTAAGCTGGAGATCATTAGCATAAGAAATCATAAGAACTTCACAAACACATGCTAATTGAACAGCATTCTCCTGAACAACCAATAGGTCACAGAGAAAATTAAAGAAGAAATTAGTTTGTTTTTACAAATAAATGATAATGCCAGTACAACATACAAGAATCTAAGGGACACAATGAAAGCAGGTCTACGTGGAAAATTCATAGCAGTGAATGCCCACACTAGGAAAAGAGAGCGAGCTCACATAAAAAACCTAATGATGAATCTTAAGCTCCCAGAAAAAGGAAAGCAAGAAAAACCAAAAGCTCATACAAGGGAGGAAATTATAAAGATCAGAGCAGAAATCTATGCAATGGAAACCAAGAGAAAGATACAAAAAAATCAATGAATCAAAGAGTTGTTTTTTTCAAAAGAATAAATAAAATCAATAAACTCTAGCCACTCTTGTCAAAAAAAGGAAAGAAAAGGCTCAGATCCATGCAATTAGGAACTAAAAAGGTGAAGTCACAATAGATCCAGCAAAACTCCAGAGGATCATCAATACCTACTTTGAGAACCTCTACTCTAATAAAATGGAAAACACAGAAGAAATGGACAGATTTCTTCTTGATACTTGTGAATTACCAAAATTGAATGAAGAAGATAAAAAAATCTAAACACCACAATTAAAATCAGTGAAATTGAAAATGTAATTAAAATTTACCAACAAAGCCCAGGTCCTGATGGCTACACTGCTAAATTCTACAAGACACTTAGAGAAGAACTACTGCCACTACTCTTTAAACTTTTCAAAGAAATTGAAAAGGAAGCAATACTTCCAAATTCATTCCTGGAAGCAAGTGTTACTTTGATTCCAAAACCAGGGAAAAACCCAACCAAAAAAAGAGAACTACAGGCCAATCTCCCTAATGAACATAGCTACAAAAATCCTCAATAAGATACTGGCAAACAGAATACAGAGGATCATCTCAAGAACATCATACACCCTGACCAAGTTGGATTTATCCCAGGAATGCAAGGATGGTTCAACATCTGTAAATCAATAAATGTAATACACTATATTAACAGAGTCAAGAACAAAAAGCATATGAGCATCTCAATAGATGCAGAAAACACATTTGACAAAAACTCAACACCCATTCATGATTAAAAAAAAAAAACCCTGCAGAAAATTGGCATAGATGATCTTTATTTCAACTTGGTAAAGGCTATCTATGAAAAACCAACAGCCAACATCACATTAAAAGGCCAAAAACTGAAAACCTTCAAACTATAATCAAGAACAAGACAAGGATGTTCATTATCACCACTCCTGTTCAAAATAGTTCTGGAAACACGATGTCAATCTGATGTAACACATGAATTACTGATTGTGAAACACTGCCCTAAACTAATTTTGGCCACTATTGTTTAGGTAATAGTTTCCACTTGTTCAATATCCTTAGGTTTCCTAAACTTCTTGACTAAAATATTCAAGTAACTCAGAATTTGTGAATGCAAGTTAGTACAAACAAGATAGATAATATAGAAAATGAACATGCTGTAGTCTTCACAAAAATTATCAGATTCCTCTCATATACCACAATACTTTATTTTCTTAATCTTTATCAGTTAAATAAATCTAGAAGGTTGATTGGTTTAAAAGAAAGCTGTTTATTCATTTACCGGGTTTCCTTTTGGTCCTCGTTCACCTTTGATACCTGGGTTTCCATGTGTACCCTGAAGGCAAAGGGTACAAAAATTATCTTGAGCAGCTATTCTATTAGTTTTCTATATTTTATAATAATTTCTTATTAGCTACATCCCACAAATTGAAGGAATATTATAAAACCTAGACCCACAAACCACAAGTTAAACTCTTTTCTCCCTTTGACAACACTAGGAACACTGCACTGTCTTGAATAGATAAGAGTCTCTAGATTTGTAAAAGAGGATAATATCTCTCTCTTCCCAGAAATTATTTATTTCCCTTAAAAAATTACTGTTTTCATTTTTTATAAACATCAAACTCATGCCAAGTTTTAAAAGAATGACCAAACCAGCAGGAAGAGGGGAGTTGCTCCCACCTTTACTTCATTTGGAACCACTTACTAGTCTCCCCACCCCCATACACACTTCATAGCTTTGAAAAGACCACACCACCTTGCTCACTTTTAGTCAAAGAGGTTCTGATATCCAGGGAATGCCCTCTAATGATGGAAAAATGGAGTCTTCCAATCTTATTCCAGAAAAAGTATTTTGTTTTCCTATTCTCAAGACACCCAAATGTTTGCTTTTCTGAGAATTGGCTTTGGGAGCCATGACAACGTTGAATGATTGAAAGTGTCAGTTTAGCTCAGCAACTATAATCTTTCTTACTGTCATTGTTTGTTTAAAAAAATAACTATCTCTTTGCCTGGCAATCTCTTGGTATATTAAGCATAAACTCAGACTTAACAGGAAGGGAAGGTTAAATCTTTGCTTTAGCCAAAGTCAACTCTACTGGCTGCCACAATATCATGTATTGTACCTTATTTCTTATTTTGGGAGGAAAATAAGACAACCATTTCCACTCTTTAATATTTTGCTTAGTAGAATGGTTTGAAAAAGTATAGGGCTTGGACTAAAGTCCCAAGGTAAAATGTGTTGTATCTGAAAACATTCACAGTACACACTCCCTTCCCTGTCTCCAAATACAAACATTAATTCAAAAAATTTATCTATGTATTTCATGAAACATCCTCCCCATGCATCTGAACTCTATGGATAAAGTTTAGAATCACATAAAGCAATGAAATACCGAATGAGTATCTGGGATGCTTTCTGATTATATCTGTCAGAAAAATGTTTAAAATCTCCAGTAGTCTTCATGTCATTTCAAATGTTTTCCAACTATAAACATAATACCTACCAGAAACTAGGCCAGAATGTAATGAAAGCACTCCTTTTGGAATGATCTTACCAAATATTGAATTGTCACAGTAAATCCTGTCTTTGTCTTGGATTGCCAAGTGGGTACTTCCATTTTCCTTATTTCACCTTACCCCCAAAGTGTTCTCATCTGCCTCCCCTTCCCTCGGCCACATGGTATTCCTGATGCAGGAGAAGGCTGTGTCTTTCCTGTCTAATGGGATACTGTTTGCCTAGAGCATTGATGAATTTGCATTCCTTTTTTTTTTTAATTGTTGAGAAAGTCTGGCCCCAATTATCAAATAAGGAATGACACTGAAAAGTCCCTTCTGAAATTCCATCATTGCTTCCTGAAAGTTCCAAGTAATGATATACTCACAGGAGGCCCTGGATCACCTGGATCCCCCTTCTCACATTCACAAATCTTGTGTTCACACTGGATCAATAGTGAAACACAATGTTAACACACAGCGACGTACAAAAAAAGGCAGCATCTCAAATTTTGTCCCGCATATAATTAACTAGACTACTGGGAGAAAGTTCACCTTGTAAGTATATGGAGATTTTGCTGTCTCTGTTAAATTATTCCAGGCAAACTCAGACTTAGCATCAGCCAGCTACTAAAATATGATTAAATTTTGCCATAGTTAAATAAAATAGCATATATAGAGAGCGAGAGAGAAAATAAAAGTATATAAAATAGGATATATATATATATATTTATATATACACAAAAAATATATATCTAGAGAGAGAGAGATCAGTTAAAATAGAGAAATAAACATTTTCAGTGGACTTTGGAATTTCTGCTTTCTGGTATAATATATTAAAGCTCAATAACATAAAAATATTAAATTCCCCTTTACTTGGCAAAATAAAACACTTGACTTATTCCATATTTTATCCTTAGTAAGATGCACATTTTTTAGCCTAACATCACTGAAATCAGAATGAGACTTCTAATAGCTGTCTAACAACTCTGAACATGATATTTTTTTTTTTTTTTTTTTTTTTTTTTTTTTTTTTTGGTACGGGGATTGAACTCTGGTCCTTGCACTTGCAAGGCTTGTATTTTGCACACATACTTCAGAACTTACACAGTGAAGCAGAAGAAAATTCCAGAGCACTTTTTTTTTTTTGTACCAGGGATCAAACTCCAGACCTTGCATTTGCGAAGCAGGAGATGGAACCACTGAGCTAAATCCCCAGCCCCTCCAGAGCTCTGTTAATATATGCTGTATCACCCATTTTTGATGGTGCAGAGGCCAATATATTTTATGGAAAAGCAAGGCTATTACCAACTTACATAAAAAGTGGTGCAAAAGATTTAAACTTGGATTTGAGGTTTTAGAAATAATCTTTTTGTACCCATATTTGCACTTATATGTATTCACTAAATGAATTCAGAAATAAAAACTCTCTATATAAATAAGTCTATAAGGACTTTTTCCATAAGTGTAAAATAGGAATCACAATTAATGAGAAAGTATTTGTATCATAGTTTAATTGGTAAGGCTTTTTCCTTTCTTAATATTACATAAAATAATAATGCAACTTACTATATATGATTCAGTTAAACCTGATGATTGACAAGGTTTAAACCTGATGATTGGTTGGTTTCTATTATTTTGTACAATACTGCTTCTAAAATATCTTGATGTTTAAAAAGTAGCTTCTTGAACAAAGTACAGATATTCCAAACTCTTTGCTTTAAAAAATGTTTGTCTAGGGCCAGGGATTTAGCTCAGTGGCACCATGCCTGCATTCGATCCCTGGTACCTAAAAAAAAAAAAGCCTGTCTAGCTCAGAAATTCTTGGCAAATTCAAGATCATCTATTTTGCTTTTATCAAACTGAGCGCTGTTGACCAGTTTCCTCTGTCATGTGCTCTGGCTGCCACACTTCAGCTTCCTTTTCTTCACAAGAATGAGCTTAAAGTCAGCCTCAGTGGTATGCAGCAAGGGGCAGTTCTGAGCTCTGTCTCTTAGCACTAACCAAAACCATGAAACAGGACAGCACCATGAAGGCTGCATAAAGTAGTAGACTCTGAAAGTAGCTACTGTCAGAGATACACTTAGAATAAAGGAAGCCATAGTAGTTATCATTGATTTCCAAAATCATCTCCTGAATTATTAAATAGTCCCTACATTTTCTAAATTTTCCAACCTGTAATCGATATGGTGGCATTTAAAAAAGTCAGATGTCTCCCTAAAATTAGAGCAGCTCATATTAAAAAGAATTAATCATTTTATTTAGCCACATCTTATCTTCTAATGTAATTATAATGCTGATTTGATAATGCAAGCTTTTAGAGTAATTTTCAGCAATCAATGCAGGCGGTGCTTACCTTCTTTTCAAACAAGATATCCTACAAGAGAAAAAGAATGAAACATTAAATCAATTAATGGTTCTGCTTTTAGTTCCTTATTAGTCTTAATTATTCCCAATGGAATACGCAATTTCCAAGAAGAATAGCAATTCAGTCTTTTAACCTTGTAAAAGCAATAAAACCTACCAGTCAGCTACCCTAGGAGCACTCTCAGCCATGTAATAACAGGAGAAATGAAGAGTACTAGCATTAAAAATCATTGTGTTTTTTAGGAATCTTATCATATTACATTCTATGTTTTATCTTTTGGTTTTTTTTTTCAGCAGCTCTATAATCTCCATAATTTAGCTACAAGCATAACCAGTCATAATGAGAAGTTCTCATTCTTGCAATGATTGAGGTAATTGCGTATTTTGTTTTCTTCTATTTTTTCCATGTATTTTCAGCTTTAAGACATTAATTCTAGAGTCATAACTTCATAAAATATTAATGGACCTTAATAATTGTATTAAATCTCAAAAAATAAAAGTTAGAAAGCCTGATGGAATTTTTCAGATGGTCTATGTTATGGAAAGACAAAGATTTCCCTTACTAGAATCACCAGGAGGAAGTGTTTTCTACTTAAAATTTTAAAAGCCTCAAATACAATACTGTATTTATAAAACTTTAACATAGAAAACAAACTCAGTTTTAAAATTTTAAGAATATTGAGAATAATATTTTATAGGAAATTCAGACTAGCAATTTTCATTATGAAAATTAAATAATGAAAAATAAAAAATAATTCATAGTAAAAATTAATCATGAAATATATGCATATATAACATACATTAATTTTATTATTTATATGGCCTGAGAAGTTGATCAGGTCCAACCTCTCACTTTATAATAAGGCAACAGACTTGGCCCAGCATTGTGACTGGACTGAAGTCATACATGTGGGGGGAATCTCCTGACCATCTGTAGGGCCACATCATACTTTACCTAGGCAGGAAGGAATTAGCCAGAATATTTTTCGAAGTTCTTTTTAATGCATAATTTTACAGAAATATCATGATCTGGTTTTTACCCAGCACATAGGCCTCACTGGTCCTAAAGCTCAGTGGTGCATTGCCTGACAAAGGTACTGAAGTCCACATGGGAAGACAACACGAGAAAGAAATTAAGACATGCTAACAGAAGGAATCAGTCCTTTTCCTAAGACATAAATTAAGTGCTTATTTAATGACTGAACTCAGAGGTAACTTAATATGGTAAAATAGAAATCTAAAGGTGAAAAGCACTGGAATATTTGTTACAAGATTTTAAAAATAAAGATTTTATAAGGAGATAAAAGATAATCAGAGTGTGTACTTTTGTGGAAGAGTGTGTATCCTTTTAGTTTAATTCTTTTGTTTTGTCTTTATTCACACACAAAAATAAAGTGGAGAAAGAGCAAAAGGTCTTAAGTGGCTCTGATGATTTCATGGAGGAAAAATTAGATTAGGAATTAACTGTCATTCTGAGTTTTCATTCTGTTTCAACTATTAACAAGTATATTCGAGCAAGTACAAGTAACCTTTTCCATACACTATAAAAAGGGGGAAATTGTGACCATGTGTTATTTGGAGCTATAAAACTCTGGCTATAGATGCTATTTATGAAAACTTACATCCCATCTATCACCCTCTCCAGTATGATTTTAAATTCCTAGCCATGTAAGTCCAGGCTGGAAACAGATGAGTCAGGCGAATCTTTAAGAGCGAGTAGGTCATATGGAGAAATGGGAACTCAGATACATGGAGTTTCTCAGTGTAAAGTGGCATCACCCCTCTGCACAATGTTTGGTAGTGCAGGCAGCATTTACAAGTCCTTGCCATATCTCTAGGCTTCCAGGACAATTCCTGGTTTTTTTTTAACCTTATATTCATCTTTCCCTTCCAGATAAGAGAAATTCTTTCACTTGTACAGTTCAACATTCATTGTTTTTCCCCTCTGCAAACAAGTTTATTTCAGTGTGAACTTATGAAGTGGCTTTTTATGAAAAAACTGAAACAAAATTTCATAACCAAGTAATACAAGAATAACAGTAGTTATTATACTGTGCATTGTTATCTTCAAAGTAGTTACTCAGAGTACAAGACATATTAATAGTAAAACATTCAAAACAAAATATCCATCAATAGTAAAGTTGATCAATAAATGAAATACTTATCAGCTAAATTTAATTTATTTATTTATCAGCTAAAGTTAATGCATGGATCTATGTAATTCAACATAGTCAAATTTCCAAAAACATAGAGTAAAAAGCAAGTTGCACAATTTGTACAATATAATTGGAATTCTGAAAATATTTAAAACACACATAAGAAACTTAGTAACCTTGAGGAAGGAGAATGGAAAAACCTCAAAAGGAGCTCATAAGAGGCAATTTTAAGAATTGATAATTCAAGTAAAATTGTAGTATTTCAAAACACCTACTAAAATTTTTTTAAATTCCAAGTTTTGTCACTTTACAACATTTTTACAATAAGCAGTATTCATATGGGTTTTTAAATTCATTAATGTATCTTTTATTTTGTCTCTTGTACAATTTTATACTTTTTTCAGATCTTCCCTTAAAAATTCAATTTTTGCTTTGTCTCATTTGCTCTTTAAAACTATGTGCCATAGATTTTAAACCACAACATAAATAACTATTTTTGAAACCCATTTATTTTGTGTTTGCTGCAATTTATATTTCTATGGAAACAGAAATGGACCAAAAACTACACAATGGATATGACTGTTTCACACAAAGAACAAAGCCTCATCCCTAAGGGCACTTACAGTTGATAAGCCTGGGGACAGAAGACAACACATAGCAGTGTAGGAAGGAGGTCCTGGGCTAGGGAATGGAGGAGTCAGTAACAAGCTGGTTTCTTGGAATAGGTGGGATTTCTGGATGATTTGCAAAGGACCAACTAATTGATGGTATGCTACTCTATATGTCAAAGTTTATGAGGAAAAGAGTCACAAAGACTAGTGTGGGCAATAAGACAAAGGAAGCAGTGAGGAGGGACATTTAACAGGAGTGGACAGAAGGCCCCACGTGGACTAAGCTGGATGCCTTGGGAAGTAGTGAAGGCCTCGATGTAGGCAGAGAGTCAGGCTATAAGGACAACAGCTGGGAGCCCATGGTAAAGCCAGAAGGGAAAGCTTGTTCAGTTACGGTCTAGGTGGATCTTTGAGTTTCAATGCAAAGCACAAATAGAGAAAGGGCATCATTAGAGCAAAAGGTGCATTTTATTAACAGATTCAGATTTTTTATGGTACTATATATGTCAAAGGAGAAGGATCAAGTGGAACTGTCAAATTTGTGAAAGAGTATGAGGTCAATGCTAGAAGGGCTGAAGAAAATATGAGAAATGGATGAAGTGATGAGCACTATAGCAAATAGGAAGAGAGAAAAGGACTTAGTGGGCAATGATAACAAATTCCATGCCCCCAAAACAAGACCCTTGCAGCTTAATATAGTAGCAAAACTGCTACCATATAACCTAGAAAGAGAACATAAATAAAGCCCTAAAGGAACCCAGGGGCAGCATAATTAATAAATGAATAAAGCATATGACTCTAAAGATGATATAAAAATTACAAATTTAATTCCTGATGTAATGGGGGTAATACCATAAATTTATATTTTTCTTAAAAATCTTCAGAAAAAGAGACTAATTTTTCATAGCCTTTATTCCCATAAAGGCTATTCAAATAATTACACTAAAGGTAACAGAGGAAAGTTTTTTTTTAATTTTCACAAAATCTTACTTTTCTAAAGGAACAAGTAATATATCTGAGACACTGGGTTGACTTCGCTTCCAAGGTTTCAATACTACTATGTAAATTATAATAGACTAACAATAAAAATATCTCACACATTCCCTTCATTTAGAATTTTCATGCCTCTTTGGTAATTCAGAACTGTTTTCATGAAGTTCTTACGTGGTACTTCCTACAGATATAAAAGGGATATAACTAGATTCTCTACATTAAAAAGTAACACGCACATTGCTGATTATAAAACAACTCAGATTAATTTCAAAATCCTTATAATGGTGTAAAAAGAAACCTGACACACACTCTCTAAATTTACTTCTATAAGATTCTATATGGTGCACACTAATCTAGAGTGACAAAAGTCAGATCAGTAGCTCAGGAGTAAGGTGCTTGCGTATTACCAAGAAGCATGGGATGACATTTGAAGGTGATGAAAATGTTTTATATTCTAATTGTGTTCATGATATCTGGTATCCTGAATATTTACATCTGTCAAAACTCATAGAATTGTGCACTTTAAGTAGATGCAGTTTTGTACTTAAATTATACCTCAGAACATTTTTAAAAACGAACTGCACCATAATTTCAAAATAAAAGGTTAAAAAAATCAACTAAAGATATAATAGAAGCAAGAAGAATTTTTCCAATGACCTGATCAGGAATCAAGTTCTGCTTCATAAACAGTTGCCATTTGGAACGCTGAAGCTGGTGTATCATTCTTTGAAGAACCTAATAAGCACTGTGGATCTGGGGAGCGTTTTGAAAGCAGAACTTCCCTCTGAAGAGAAGATAACTCACTGAGCTCCCATCTGAACAAACACAGGATGCTAAGGAAAAGTACTGTTGCTGGTAGTTTTCTGGTTTCCCCAGAAACAAACATTTCTGCCAAGAGCCTGTCTCCCCAGTTGGTCGGGAACTCTCAGAGTCAGTCTAGGGGGAACAGGAACATCCTGAGCTTGCACATCTGGCCAAACAAGGAGCTGGCTTCCCTGCATCTGTTACAGAAAGCTCTTCTCACACATAGGGTCTACAGGCCATTCATGTTCACACCCTCAAGATTCTCTTCTACAAATGCTGGAACCTTTTGTTTTAAATTAGGTGGTGAGTACTCCATGAACTATGGGCACAGTACATATAGCTAGGATCATATTTCCCTTTCATACAAAGAGCTACTCAGGATGAGCACTCAGCCCAAGCATCACAGAGCTGGGCTCACCATCTCTGTCTAAGGAAAGGCAGAACTCTCACATGTACCCTCAATCACTGAGGAGAAAAGGATAGAAATAATAGTAAATTTGAAAGTAAGATGTTGTTTAACTGCTTCAGGACAATTCTGATTGAGAAAACCTTAGAAAAATGTTACTATTCCTCTCTGAATATACTTTCATAGGACTCAGCGTGGATTCTGGGGTCTTGGCTGGCCTTAAATGTTTATCTATAAAATAGAATGATAATAATAGTAGCTATATTATAAGACTATGGCAAGCTCCCAGTGAAATAAATAATGTAAAATGCTCAGAGTGATGCCTAATACATGGAAAGCACTCAATGCACAATATTATTTAGGTAAGAAAAATAGGTTTCATGCTAAAAATAACTAATACAAAAAAGATGAGTTGAGAAAAAGATTTGGGAAAAGACAAAAGGATCAAAACCAAAACCATTATATATGTATTTAGTTTGTTCTACTTAAAGTAGTCAATAAAAGGCTATATTCCTAAAAAAAAAAATCTTTGAAATACGGCCTAGGTTTTCTTTGCAACATAGGGAAACGATCATTATGAAAGGCTCAACACCTACAGGACACATTTATCTTGCCTTCTTCTCAGGAAATCAAAGAAATCAGTGTTTTTAAGAAAATCAGTTTTTAACACTTAATAAATCAACCAATTTATCTTCAGTTTTCTCCTTGAGGAATGTAGGAAAGAGGGATTTCTTTTTTATTGTTTTGCCTTGTGTTTTCCAAAGCAAGAAGGACAGGCTCTCACATATAGCTGAGAAACCAATACAGAAAAGCACTGACACAGCTAACCAGACCAATCAAGTTGGATTTGTCGATCTGATGGGAGAGATTGTTGGTTGACTGCAGATTGCAGGTGATTTTAAATTGGATGGGCTTAACCTCTTAGAAACAAGGAGATAACTTTTTAAAGTGGTAGCCTGAACTTTGCTTAAGTAGAACGATGCAGGAATAGGTGAGACAAGAGGGTAAAAAATATTTCTGCAGATATGGAATGGGAACAGACAAGCTCAGTTACAAAAACAACAGTCCACAAGTGGACCACAAACAATATAGGTCAATAGTGTTCATAGTCCTGAGAAGTCTAAACAGGAGCATAAAGTATGATTGGAAAGTGATGCTTTCAAAATCCTCAGCACTGACAACAGGAGGGGGCCAGGGATATAGCTCAGCAGTGTCATCACAGCTTGGGAAGCACAAGGTCCTGAGTTGGATCCCCAGGACCTTAGATAGGTAGGTAGGTAGGTAGATAGATAGACAGACAGACAGACAGACAGACAGACAGACATATAGATAAAGTTTTAAGTATTATAAGACTGTGGCAAGCACCCAATGAAATAAATAATGTAAAGTGCTCAGAGTGATGCCTAATACATGGAAAGCACGCAATGCACATCATTTAAGTAAGAAAAATTAGGTTTCATGCTAACAATAACTAACACTAAAAAGACAAGAGTTGCGAAGAGGACTTGGGAAGGGACAAAAGGATCAAAACCATCTTTGAAATAGGGCCTAAGTATTCTTTGCAACATAGGGAAATATTGCTATGAAATGTGCAGCACCTAAACAGAACATATATATGTAGCGTTGACAACAATAAACTTCAGATGCTATGTCAAGAAATGAGCCCCCTACTTTCCCAGTTTATTTTGGTATAAATTGTCAAGGAAGTAGAGAGAGGCTCCAGAAAGTTTCCTTTTTCTTTTCTTTTCTTTTATTCACTCATTCATTTATTTATTTATTTATTTATTTATTTATTTATTTATTTATTTAATTTTTGTACTGGGGATCAAATTCAGGACCTTGCTGAGAGGCAGACCGCAGAACCACTGAACTAAATCCCCAGCTAGTTTCCTTTTTCTATTTCCAAAGAGAATCCTATTTTGTTCATCTTTTTAATGCAGTATCTACCCTTCTAGAATTTATGACCAAAATGATCAATATTATGATGAGAAATACAAAACTAGCTTCATTAGGTACCTACCAGGCGATCCCGAATTTTATCTATAAGGGTTGGATCATTCAGTAGTAGGACAGGTTCACTAGATGAATCCCCAGATATCAAACGAAGTTTAGCTTCATTGACTACAGTGGAAAGTCCGATGGTGATGAATGATATTCCTGAAATTCTAGCATCTTCAGAAATACTTTGAACATCTGGATTCTTTGGATGATCAATGCCATCTGTCATCAGCAAAGCCACTTTCACACCATTTTTACGCCCTTCTTTCTTAAGTAGCCTTGTAGCATTAGAGATGGCATAATAAGAGAAGGTACCTTGCCCAATTAAATTCATAGACTTGGCCCTCTGCTTAAATGTCTGAAGGTCTTTCCAAGAAGAAAAAGGCGGATCAATCTGGACAGAGCTACTAAACTGAAGGGCAGCCAGTTTGATGTCATATTTCAAGGAACGACCAGGGGTCAACTGGAAAATTTTGTCACTCAGATGATTCACAAAGTCTTTCTGCTTATCATACAGGAGAATTTTAGAACTTTCAGAGCTGTCCACGATGAAGACAATGTCTATGAAGCAAATGGAGTCTGAAATGCAACAAAAAGTTTAGACAACATAATGGTCTCTGCTCAAGGGTCAACACTGTATAAGGAGGGCCCTGACGTGGTATGTTGTGTGTTTGTTTTTAAGAGGTCAGTGAATTGAGTATTACAGACACCCTGAATGATGAGAGTGCACCTTGGAGATAAGGCTTAACTTGCAAAGAACTAAATCTCTTTCCAAGTCTAAGACACCTTCAACCCTTGTAGAATCATGAAAATCAAAAGCAAACAGATTAACAAAATATCAGATTTCTCAGTGTTAAACTCACTTGAAGTGGGAGGAAAAGAGGTGTGTCACATTTTAGAAACCCAACAGACATGAGGCAAAGTTGTCTAACAATAAATAAAGATGCTCTAATTCTCATACTGTATTCATACGACTGTGTCCCCACTTTGTTTTATTGCTGTTGTCAACTATACTAAAAGTGGAAATGACTGCACAGTATAATACTCAAAAAAGGGAAAGAAACTTATTTCAAAAACAGAGAATTTAAGTTTGAATCCTAGCTCTGTTTCTAATTATTTCGCTTATGGCCACTTTTCTTTCTAAGCTTCAATTTCTTTATCTGTGAGAGTGGCAGTTTTACAAGTGAGGCTCAAACAACATAATAAATGCACAAGTGCTCTAAAATCTCTGACATGTTCCTAAAATGGAAGTTGTATTAATTGTGTCAGGGTAGAATATCACAAATATATATGTATATGGTTTGCTCTTTGCCTCCAATACTATCACTTCTCAGCCTTTTGGCTAAGATCAAGTGTACATCAAATGCCACTTAGGAATGATAAAATGTAACAATGTTTTAACAGGAAAGAACTAATGAATAAAAAGTAAAACAAAACTTTTTTTACCCTGGAAGTCATTTTTCCTTGCAAGTAAATTTGGCTTTGATCCTTTCCTTCTTTGTCCGTATACCATTTGGCTTATAAAAGGCAGCAAAAGCAGGATACAGGAGAAAAAATATCTATTCCACATCATGGTAGGTGGTGAAAAATCATCTGCCTGGTAGCACCTTGAAATAGAAAAATCAGTTATAAATACTTTAATGAATTTTCTCTTTTTAAATTTCCCTCTTAGTCAAAAACTGGCATATGACTGGAGAAAGAAGTTTTCATTGACATTTCTAGAAAAACACTCACACTGATATTTTATCTTCAATTTATTTTTATTAGTACATATTTGTGATACACAATGATTACACTCATCGTTGGCAGCTGGTACATGTACATAACACATCTTAATTATTTTTACGTCCCCTTCTTTTTCCCCCCTCCCCTCATCCTGCATCAATTGGTCCCTTTCTTCATTTACAAAAGATATATCTCCCTGTTTCTTTTTAATCCATCTTTTATTATGCTCTTTATTTATTTATACTTTAGGTTTCTCATACAATACGATATCTAAGCTTGTATGTCTGATTTATTTCACTTCACATTGTGGTCTCAAGTTGTATCCATATGTCTACAACTAATCCAAATTTGTCCTTCTTTTTTATTTTTTGGTACTGGGGATACAATTTGGGACTTTGTGTTTGAGAGGCAGGCAGTGGAACCACTGAATTAAATCCCCGGCCCTAAATTTATTGTTCTTTAGAACACAATAGTACTCCATTGTGCATGAACACCATATTTGCTTTATCCATTCATCTGTTGATAGGCATATAGGCCACTTCCAAGGTTTAACTATAATGAATGGTACAGTTTTAAACATGAATATGCATGTATGCATGTATGTGGGGTCTTTAACTCTTTCTGGAGGAACCCTAGAAGGGGAAGAGCTAGGTCAAATAGAACTTCTAGTTCTACTTTTTGAGGAATCTCCCAAGGGATTTCCATAGTGCTTGGACCAGTTTGTACTTCCACCAACAATGTAGATAGGTTCTTTTTCCCCCACAGTCTCACTAGCATTTGTTATTATTCAATTGCTTGATGAGATCCATTCTTCCTGGACTAAGATAGAACCTCAGTGTTATTTTAATTTGCATTTCTCTAATGGCCAGAGATGTTAACCATGTTTTCATGTGTTCATTGGCCATTTGTACTTCTGAGAAATGTCTGTGCACTTCAGTTGCCCATTTTTTGACTGGGTCACAGAGAGAATTTTAAGTTTTTAATCCACGTAAATCATAGCAACATGACAAAACACTTATTAATAAACATTTTTATGTATCCAAATAACTATAATCAAATAGCTCTAATTTATTATATTATTAGAAGCAAGGAGTAAAGAGAGCCATTTAAGAACATTTCAGTCCCACTCTGTATGGAAAATGTGGTTCAATCCTAGCATTTGTTTTGACATTTCCAGGGTTAATTCTCTCCATAGTAATTCTCCAAAGTCACTCGTTTTCATTATAACTGATTCCTGAGAAACCTAACATTTTGCAATACAGATAAACTCCACCATTTGAGTCCTAGTATTATACATACAATGTCAGTGCATTCAGAAGTCACCCCAATCATTAAATTGCCCTTCCATTTCCATAGAACTCCATTTCTGTTTTCTACTCTCGCTTTGCAAACTTTGTCTCCACCAGTGTACCAAACTAGAACTTCATATCCAAAGAATGTGAGCACAAAATAACACTGTCCTTCCAGTGTTCACTACAAGAATTTACAGAAGGCCAGGGATTTAGCTCAGTGGCGCCTGCCTCACAAACTCAAAGTCCTGAGTTCAATCTCTGGTACCAACAACAACAAAGAATTGACAGAAAAAGACTGACAGTCAGGAAGTGCTCTGCCCACCCCACAGTCACATGAAACTACTGTTCTGGGAAGGTTAACAATGAAAATTCTAATTCTGCATTAAAATCCTCAGTCACCTTCACTAGTCAATATGCCCTGATGTACACCAAAATACTTTTGGTGAGGTTTTTTTGGTTTTTAGTTTTGTTTTTTGGTTTTTAGCTTTATTTTTTGATCAAACTTGGGACCTTCAGCTTGTGAGGAAGCCAGCGGCACCACTGAACTAAATCCTCAGCTCTTACACCAAACTACTTTTAAACCTAGAAAATTCTGTAATAAACAAAGGCTGCTGTGTTGGAAGTTCAGTATGCCCAAGAGAATCGGAATGAGGAAATTTTTTTTTTTAGCTAATGTTCAGTATGGTTTGAAATGCTTTCCTGATTAAACTATATTGACTTCAGGAGTTCTGGAAAAGGAATCATACTTTCCTTCTTTGGCACCTAGCCTTCAGGCAATGTAAAGTGTGAACTCATGAGCATGATATTTCCAGGCTCTAAACAGAGGGTAGATATACATAGAAAGGCAGTGAGGAGTGAAACAGGAGACTGACTTCTTTCATACTTGCTAGATGGTGAACCCCAAAAGGAAGCAAAGCTATTGGATTGGGGACAGAGCAATGAATGGATTAATGTCATACTCTGTTCCCCAAATAACACTGTCCAACAGATAGTTCGTTAGAAGCACTTCACTGCTATACAACCGAGCATCTCTGCTGACAAATATATCAAGTGCAATTTCTTAAATGCCAACTGATCTTCAGATCAAGTATGATAAGGTCTAAAGATAGCTAGGAATATACAAGAAAATAGGACCTGTGCTAAGGAAATAGAACACATGAAGGACATCCCTCCTTAGGTAATCCCTTTGCTAACCAAAGAGAAGAGGACAAAGGACAAACAATTCTGAATATTAGTGTAAAGATAAGGCTATATAGCAAACCCCAGCTGCTATTACATTTTCAAAGGAGAAAAATCATTGACCACATGTCGCTGGTATTACATTAAGATTTTTATCTGGTAGAGTTCATATCATAGTGAACATTTCCAGAGTTTTAGAAATAAGAGTTTGAGAACTAAATTTCACTGAGAACAAGAGAAATTTGATAAGATATATGGTGGAGCAACTCTTCAAAAACCTAAAGAAGGTGATTTCCATGTAGGATCCTGAGAAGAAACCACTTTTTCCTCATTTAAGTCTTTGGAAATTCTAGTTTTAAATAATGACATCTTTCCTTCAAACTAAGCACTTGATTGTACAGGTGTTTTTTTATTTTTTTGCATGTAATCATGATTTCATGCCTGAACCCCATATATGGTATTCACTAACATAATTTATCCAATAGCAATAATCATAGTATCTTATATTTTATTAGCATCCTTTCTGACAGTTTTTATCTAGCTCTCCCAAACTAAAATCTTGCTATTCCTTTTTGCTTCATTATGTATTCAAAGAACATTCTTCTACTTATTTCTTCTCTAGTGTTTAGTTCTTGTGCTTTCCTAAATTCTTTCTCCTTCATTAATTTGGCATTATGATATCCTACCCTCTTCTAATCAGCTTTTATTGGTTTTCATTCCCTCTGTTTTTAATAATTCTCACCTTTCTATTAGATTTCATGTGCAAATATAATGGGCTTCAGGGGTCAAAAATATCATCAGTTAAATGAAAGAAATATAAGCTTTCATATTTACCATAGGTTGAATTTTATTAATGCAGAAGCAATGATGATTTTTAGCCAAATGCTAATTTTTTGCTTTTTTTTTTTTTGGCTAAATACTGTGATATATAAACCTGAGCATATTTTATAATATTTCAGAAATGAAATTATCCTTCAGTTTACCAATTTTATTGAATGATTAAGAGTTTACCAATTATATTCAGTGTTTGCATCTTGTTTCTACATGAAGACAAAATGACTAAAAGAAATCAGTCAATTCAAATTGCCAAACTACCCAAATTATATTCTGTAATTAACCCTGAATTATAAAAACTTGTTCTAAATTATTAAATGCCCCCCCAAAATTAACATTACTATCAGGCAATTTAGTACTATAAATTAATAATAAATACAATTTACATTTACATATTTTAACAATTAGTCATATTTATGCCATAATTGATTTAAAGTACTAACAAAGGATTAAAAAATTGATAAGCTTTCTTTGCATAATAAGTACATAAATCATTTGGTCTTCCACAGACCTTAGATGACCCTTTCTTATTAAAGTGGTTAAAGCAAAGCAATATAGCTTACCTTATAAAAGTTATCAAACAGGAATTAAAGACTGGTTGAACAAATGCCCACAGCAAGGACTACTGTTTAGGATGGAGTTAACTACTTGATATTGTTCTGTTCTGTGAGAAATAAAAATTGTCTTTGCCTTTGGATCTTTTGCAATCTTTATTCTTGTTTATTAGACCAAGTTAAAGCAAGAATGGTTAGGCATCTGGCCAGGGTGCAAGATCTGGGTGGGATCAGGAAGCAAGTTAAAGGCACAGTGCTCTCTCAGAGTAAGTCTGGGTTTTCCTGACTGTTGTAAAAAATAACCTGAGCAAATTTTCTATATTTCAAGCATTTATTGACACTCTGTTTTTGTTTCTCATGGCGTGTCATTCTCCTTTAATTCCTATTTTTTCTTTTTCTACCACATGCTAAGAGAACAGTTCTAAACTTCTCTGTGAAGGATTATAAATGATATCAGACTCAGATTAAAAGCTGACATTTGAAGCGTGGTTGATAATTATGAAAGTTTTTAGAGGTTTATTAGTCAAGCCTTTATGATTTCTGAAATTTTTCATAGCAAAAAACTGATATAATATGCAGTGAAAGTGTAGTCTGAGATTAACATTAGTTCCCCACTAGGTTCTAGGGTAGCCTCTCACACTTAGGAAATATAACTAAGAGGTAACTAACTGTACTATGGTCAATATTCTGAAGTCTTCAGGCAAAAAAGTCCCTGTAAGTGTTCCATTGTTTTTTCCCCTCTCTTCTACCTTCTGCTTATAGTACTTAGTAAGTTAATGTCATAGCTGCAAAATACCCTGCCAAGAAACCCACTTGACCCCTCAACAAGTGACCAGTAGACTTCTAGTGGGCTGTCTATGAGACAGAGGCCATACATCAGCTTTCTTAGGGAAACATTTTAACATTGATGGACCCTTCTCCTTGAACAATAAATAATAGCTTCCATTTCGTGATCACTTAATAAGGACTAAGCACTGTGCTGAGTACTTTACATGCATTATTTCATCTGGTCCTCCACAAGAA